CATATCTGAAATTTAAAAATTTTCTGATGTATAAAAGTATTTGTAATGAAACTTGTGAAAAGAAAAAAACACAAAAGAAAATCATTGCTTTACAAAACTTGACACTTAATAAACAAAATTTTATATCTTGTGTATGAAAGCATTGTAATTTTTACTGATAATCGACCAAATTTTGTTTACATTTGCTTACTAATTTAAAAGTTATACCATGAAAACTATAACAAGCACAAAATGGTTACAAGGTTGGTCCCAGGGATTGAGCCCGTGCTGAAAGAGTTATAGGAGTTTAAGAGGAGGAATCAATAATTTTTCAGAAAAGTTAATGGTAGAGTTTAAATCTTTACTTTACCTGAGGATGAGTGTACAAGAATAGTCTTGAAGGACCAAATGTTCATTATTGTCCATAGGTTCAATTAATGACATTTAAAATTACTGCTGAAATAGTATAACTACAAAATTTTGTAAATGCTTGCTTACCTAAGTAGTGATACAACCAGAATATGATGCATATGAAGTTGTGATTGGTGGATTGACACAGTGTTCAGTGTGATCAATCATATCTCAAAATTTTTATTTGATGCTGTTTTTGGCACCATTTTGTTTTGTACACAATAGCTGGTTTGTAAGCAAGGCTTTATTGTTTATCATTCCTAATTTGTCTGGTGTGGTGTTGATGTTAACATAGCCTTTGGTAATTATAATACAACTCCAGGGTGTGTGAAATTAGTTTGTGAATATTCAATCTTTCTTGTATTCATGTCACCATTTTTTTCTGTAACATTACAGGCAATTACATATCATTACAAAGATGGTTGTCTATAACTAGTGACACGACTACAAAACATTAATGACATGATTGTATATTATTGCTTTTAATGAAAGTATACATCAACAAATGGTGACAGAATTTCACTGCTAAAATGAAAGAAAGTTGTTAGAATTTCAAGTACTTATGAAATAAGAACTCTAATTGTGAGTGTGAAAAGTGTAAAACATTTCTGAGGAAAATCACCAAGTAATAACTGTGGAAAACCATAACGAAAGTGGTTTCCTTAACTTATGATGTACATATTTCTGGCATAATGGAATCAGTTTATAAACTGCATTAAACTACAAGACATTATGTTGAAAATAATGGTGTAATAGCTAGGTGTTTCATAATTTATTCAGGCTTTTCAATAACCCAGAACCCTGAGTATTTCAAGAACAAAAATGGAGTGATATGGGTCCATTCATGCATGGAAATTTTAGTTTGTGCATGTGAAAAGAAAAAAAAAGTCTTACATTTGATGTTCTAGCTCAGTTACTGACATTAGGGTAATGTGAATATCAAACACATTTACATTTTGAGATAGATGTCAGGTACACATGTACATAGTATATGTTTTTAAATTGGCTTGAATCATGTAAACAGTTGCTGAGCTTATGGATGTCACATGATTTACTTTCTGTTGAGAGTTCGTAGTTACACAACCATCACTGAAATGAGAGAGTGTTCAGATTGATTTGCATATTGAAAGGTGAGTTGTTAAGCAGGTGACCTGTTGATCAGCCATGTATGATTGCTTCATACCTACACAGTTTGCAATCAGAAGAAACATAACTTTAATCAGATTATTGGGTTATCAAGCAGCTTGTCTGTAAGGCAGTTGATAATTGATCATTAACTGTTACTTGTCGCATCTTTGAAAATGAACAGTAATTGATAATCAGCCTGATTGTTATACTAAAGAATGCCTCTTCAAAATTCTTACAGAGATTGCTGTTATTGACACTTTAGAAATGGTTTCCAAGTGGGAAAATCATTTAATTAGTTGAGGCATAGTCAAAGGTTTGTAAGCCTTTCTGTTTTGAGGACATATATATCATTTTTTGGTGTAACAGCAAGAATACCAAATTTTTAAATAATCTGTGTGTAGTCCTTGGAATTGAAAGGCTGTAATGAAGTTGCTTAAAATGTTAAATGTTTAAATAAACTTCTATATATATATATATATAAATATTTGGCATATATAACTATTACAAAGTACATTTCTGCATAAATAAACCTTAACAAACTCGTGGCCCATGTATTAATTTCAGTTAATTTCTAGAAAATAAGTCTTTATAGTTGAATCTAAATGTATTGATTGTTATGTTCACTTCTCTCTTTTTGCTTGTGTAAGTAATACAAATTAATAGACAGATACATAGATATAGCTGCTATAAGTGATTTCAGTACTACCAATTAAACATTTTTATTCATATGCCAGCATAACATAAATATTTTGGCAAATAGACTAGAATGAAGAATTCTATACAATATTTTACAAGGTTCAAGCTTACAGTACATATTCTAGGGTTATTAACTAAATCAACAGTTAAAGTATTAGTTAATTTTAATAATTGAGTTTAATGTATATGGTATGAATAAAATGATATCGTTGGTGTGGTGGTGTTGGTAATTTCAAAAATTCACTGGTGCTAATTAGAATAATAATTTTCATTCTCTCATGACATAAGGTGTGGGGGTAATACAGGCTAAATTTGGGAACAGTTATTGCTTTTAAGCGCAAAATATTTGATGCCTAAATTTTAATAGTTATGTTATGAAAAAGTTAGGCTAGAAATCAAAACAATAAAAAGTAAAATAATAATAATAAAAACAAAATTTTTGCTTAGATTTTTTCTGTATATCACATCTTTTAGTATTTTGACTTACCTCAAAACCCATTTGAATAGATGCACATAAATATAACATAATATTTAAAAGTATCTGTTAATTTTTTTTTCTTCAAGAACCCCCAGCTCAAATTCTCAGCAAGTTTCTGCTACATGGAAGATTGCCTCATTTGAATTTGGGCCCGGCATGGCCAGGTGGTTAGGGTGCTCGACTCGTAATCTGCGGGTCGCGGGTTCGAATCCCCGTCACACCAAACATGCTCACCCTTTCAGCCATGGGGGTGTTATATAATGTGATGGTCAATTCCACTATTCGTTGGTAAAAGAGTAGCCCAAGAGTTGGCGGTGATGACTAGCTGCCTTCCCTCTAGTCTTACACTGCTAACTTAGGGACGGCTAGTGCAGATAGCCCTCGTGTAGCTTTGCGCGAAATCCATAACAAACATTTGAACTTGATTATTGCCATTCAAATTCATTTTCTGTATTACCTTCTTCAGTGTAAAAACATTACTTTTATATTTGGAACCTGTTGTTTTTGTAAAAATAATTTTATAAAACTTTTAAACATTCAGAGTAATACTATCAACGTTATGAGCTGTTTGGAAAAAACATAAGTTAAAGATGTTTTACAAAGAAATCCTAGGAATTGGACTTGAATTACTATTGCTTTCATTATAATTACTTTTAATATCCATGTTCTTCATTTGATTCTTGATTCATGAATATTTATACATTAATAAAAAGTTAAACGCATTTAGCTGACAAATGAAACATCTGAAAAATGATTAGCGAAAGATTAATGAGCTTCACTTGCTGTTATTATCTGTCATAAGTCTTGTTCAAATCATACAATTGTTCAGTTTTTGTGTCATTACAGGAAAGTTATAGAGTTACAAGAATGTTTCTTTGTTCAACATATTGTAGAGGCTAAAACGTTTACAATTTATTTCAGGGAAATATACTCCTGAAAAAAGAAAGTGGCTAGAGACTGGTGACCAAAATTATTATGAATTTGGACAACTTAAGGTAATTTTTTTTTATTTATGCTTTATTGTAATTAGTAGTGGTGATTTAAAAATATAGAACAAATAGAATAAGCTAGTTTCCACAATAGTTGTAACTTAAAAAGTAAACAAAGGGGATGGAAGGCCATTTGACTTATTAAGGCCACTCCTTATTCTCAAAAAAAATAAAATCCAAATTTAATGTAGCCCTTGTCATCTGTCCGGCAAGATTAAGATTTCAAGCTATCAACACATGCTACTGTATACCATAAGCAGACCATTTCACACACTTATAACTAAGATAAAACATATTGTTGCAGGAAAAGTCTGTATCTGGGTTTCATATATTATACTTGTTATCCCTAATATTCAAGTTTGTATTTCCAACCTTTTCATTCCACCATCCAAACAGACTTGACAAATCCATAATAATAATAGTTAACGTCTGAATCATATCATGTCTAAACCTTCATGGTGTTAAGTTCAAAAAATCAGTTCAACATAAAAATACAAAACCTATAATCAGGGGCAAACTGATCAAAGCTTTCATTATAAGGTACCTTGTTGAAACGTCGTACATTTGCTGTTATGTTAAATTTATATTAAAGTTTTTCTTCATTACCCATTCAAGCCGTCTCCAACCATTATTAAACTCTATTTAATCAGAAATCATAATGGCAATACTTCAATCACTGGATAATTGAAATAATTGGAAAAAATCTAATTTTGATTAGTTAATTATTTTCATGACATTAATCGAATTAATCATAATTTCAATTACTGGATAGTTGAAATAATTATAATTAATAACAGTAGGAAACACTAGTTGATTATTTTTATTACATTAATTGATTTAATTGTCATTTTGATTTGTTAATTTATTTTATGTTACACTAATTGAAGTAGTCAGTCCTCATAGGTGATCAATTATATTGACTGATTGAGTTAATTGTTCTAATATTAGCTACGTTCTTTCCTAACAGTTTGATTTAAAATCTTATAGGTTCTACAGACGTGTCTTGATTCACTATTCTTTGTATTACTGATTCTAGTGTATAAACACACATAGTGCAATGGTATATTTACGTGTTTTTCTAGATAACCCACAGTGTTGCTACATGAGTGAATACTCTATTATAACTACCAACATTGGTCTTTCTTTGGAACATTGCAGCAACAGCGGGGACTATATATGTTTGGGCAGGACATTCAAGAAGGAATATTTACCTGGACGTTGTGCCGTAAACCTCACCAGGATGGATGTGTTTGTCGAGATACCAATTGGCTGTGCATGTTCTAACTATATTAAGTTTCTTGTTGATATACAAATATAAAGCCCGGAGATCATTGTAATTTTCTAGTTAAATAAAGTTTGATATTTTTGAGTGTGTGAAACTTGGGCTTATGTTCTAAGGGGGTATTTGTATGATATGAAATGTGGTCGATAGTAATATTATTATTGATATCATCTCAGCATTCAGCAGTATCTTATTGATGAATTGTTAAGTCAATTTTTAAGATATTAGTAACATAAGAAAGATTAATTGAGTGTTCTTCGTCCCTTAAAGATGGCTGTCTAATGCAACTGAATGTAGAAAAGTTAAACATCCAGGAAAGTAATGGATGTAACAAAATAGTTCAGCTGTAACACATTTTCTAATCAATAAATATATTCCAGAAATTGTGTTCTGTAAAACTACATTGCAGGATCAGATAATATAGAAGAACAGCTTGACTGAAAGTTTTAAGTTCCTTCAGGGCTAATGTGAGGTAAGTTTTTGGCTGTTTTCATGCATTATTTTTTTTAAAGACTTTCATATCTACATTTCCCTAAAGTACTACCATGGTAGTCAGGCTTGAGGACACCTCAACTATCACACTAGTTTTTAAGAAGGTAAAGGTAAAAACTTTAGTTTTTTTTCATTGTTAACACTGTTAAGTATTGTTTGTCTCGAGGATTTTTATTTATCTTATGTGTGTGAATTAACAAATGAATAGTTACTAATATAGAGTTATATAATCACTGTTTTTCTGATGTAAATTGCAGTGAGGTAATAATGCACACCCTGCTTCAGAAACCTAATTTTTTACTGCATTGTTAGAAAAGATATTTACTATAACAGTTTTGTGATCGTGTTTCCTAGAATTACGTTACACAGTAGTTTTTTGAGTGAAGTCTTAAGTAATGTAAATGTCTCGGGTATGTTCGTTTGCACAAGAGATTCCTGTGGACTTCCTGACTTTTCTACTTCTCGTCAGATCAGAGCATTGTAGAAAGGTAGATGTTCATACAGCTCTGAACTAAAGAAGCTAACGTCAGTAGAATGACTGAAACATTGTCCAAAAACATTCAGAACTAACTCCTGTCCATACAAGCCTGCATACAATATAGTTACCTGTCTTAAGATGATCATTTATTTATTAATAATTAATATAATACAGTTAGTGGTTATTGTTTTCAAACATTTTTTTTCAACAGGTGGAAGTTGATGTTGTGGACAATTTTAGAGATGCTGCTTCCTATACAGTATCAAAAATAATCATGGAAATGCAAAGGTGATATCATTCATGAGTCATAAACAATGAGTGATTACAATTAAATGGTCAATTTATTGTTAGTGTAATACATTGTTATAAAAAATAGAAAAGAAAGTCAGATATTGTACAACACCCATTATATATTGTTATTTGTCTTAAACCTTATTTCTATGCTACCAAAAGTTTATCAATTTTAAATATTTGATAAAAAGGAACCCATTTTTTAGAAAATAAGTTTTGAGATGGCTTGACTGGGTAATGACATAATCTTGTCGAAATGTTGTACATTTATAATAATGTTTTTTTCATTACCCAGTCAAGCCGTCTCGAAACTTTTTATTTTAAATATTGTTCCATGTATCCCATATTGAATCCTACATTTCAACAAAATAGTTTGATTGCTATTTGACTTTCTCAATATCCATACAAACGTTAATAATATTGATATTGAGACTTTTTTGCAGGCCAAGCCATAGTTGTGAGTATTCCATCAGCCCCTTTTTCCTTATAGGTATCATTTCACCACATTTGTTGCATGCTTGAGATTACTATCTTGCTGGAATTTTAATATCTGCCAAACAGATCTTTATCCTGAGAGAATGACTTATACTTGTCTGCAGTCAGGGTGCCATCAGTTTTGTTTCACTGAGGTGTTGTAGGTTGACCATGATACTGTTTTGCTCTCCACTATTGAACAAGCTATCAACCTTCTCCAGCTTCCCTCATCTCATTGTTTGAACTTTGATACTCGTGTCAGTCTTTTGATTGGTTATTTTTGAGCACCTACACATCCATTGAAGCCATTTTGTGCTAATGTGTACTAGCTTACTAATCTGAAGATAACATTCACACCTCTACTTACAACTAGGTTATTGGAAAGATCTCTAGTGGATTGTCATGTATCATGTAGAAAGTTACTTAACAACACTTTCTTTCTCAACTGTTTCTACTATTAACAGTACTGTTCCTACTCAAACACAAAATGTTGTTTCATTTTGTTGCATGGGGTAGCATTCATCAGCTCAGACTTTGATTTCTACGCATTTGTCGTGTGCCACTTATTTCCTGGAAGTTATGAGTACATTCACCTCATTACTACTGGGAATGATATTAGTGCATGTATTTTTATAGACATTATACTGATATAGTAAGAAAACACATTAATGAAAACCCTGCAGATTGTAAGGGTATTTTTATAATAGTCTAGTACAGCTGACTTTTGTATGACTTTTTTTTTTAATATTATGATATCTAACTTGTTTTATACACTGAGCTTGACAACTTTGTAAAGAATATGTATTTTGAATACATTTTTTGATACGCTCACATCTTGTATAAGCATGCTCTCTTGCTACAGAATATTGTAATTGCTACAAAGTTTCAATCTTGCATGATATGTTTTTGCGACCATAACTTTATTTTTAAGTTGTTAAAATATATTAGTTGGTATAATTTCATAGTAATATTTATAGGGCTCAGTTTGTGTTTGGAAGAGCTTTGGAATTTGGATATTGAACCAAGAATTTCAATTGGCAGTCAAGAAAAGTTTAAAAACATCCATCCCAAAAAAGAAGTGTGTAGACATTTGGAAGTTAATCAGCTCCAAAAAAAAATATTATTACTGCTCTTTTAATCCATAGAAGTGTTCTTAGAAGACTAATTTTTTCAACCCATAAATAAAAAAATTTCCCTCTTTAGTAGACAGTTATCTGTAAAAATAACTTTTAAATGGTTCTTAAATTTTATATAAATGTAATTTGGAGAATAAAAAAGAATGAAAATTAAATGATGAAGTTACAGGACAAAGGTTAAAGTGTTTTCTTACCTGACTTAATTCTTGGTTTTATCAAGCTAGTGAGACTGGAAGTTTAAGTTTGATGTTACAGTTTTATTTTGACCACTATAATGGTTTAATGTTGAGAGAATCACTTTGTCTTACTACTATGTATTATAACTACACTACACTAACTTATAAATACATTGTCTCAAGATTTAGTTTAAAATTAGTGTAAAGAACCAATGTACTTTTGATGTTTTTGATCACTTAAAAAGTGTACTGTTGTTGCTAGAAGTAGTTTTTACATCTTTGTATGTTCATTCATCTTGAACGAAATTGTGAAGCTATTCAGCTCTTTGGCAAAATTAATGACTATCTATAAAGCTCCATTGATTGAGAGCAAAATTAATCACTATCTATAAAGCTCCATTGACTGAGAGCAAAATTAATCACTATCTATAAAGCTCCATTGATTGAGAGCAAAATTAATCACTATCTATAAAGCTCCATTGACTGAGACCAAAATTAATCACTATCTATAAAGCTCCATTGACAGTACTCGGGGTTGATTAAAAAGTGACATTGTTTGAAACTGTTCTCAGCTGGTTCTAGTGTCGATTTTGTTATATAAAATAAACTTGTATGTTTACATTCCACTGAAATGTATTATTTTAGTGAATATTTAAAGAATACAGAACAGGTAACTTGTTCTAGAGAAAGTAAATGTAGAAGTATATTATTACAAATTTTATTAGTGAACAGTCACTTCATACTTAAAACGCATCGGGCAACAGTTAATCATTAAGAGATGTAATTTGAAGTATAACATTAAACATTTCATATTTAAAGCTAGACGAATTATTGAACCAGTAAGTTATTTAAGCACAGTGTTAAATGTGAAATCTATGTTATCATTAAAGTTGGTGATACAAGAAACAAAAAATGAAGGGTTCTCTTAAAAGATATCTAATAAATTTTGAAATAAATTTTTTTTTTTTTGCCGTTTATGTTCTGAAAAACAAATAATACAATGAGGAGAGAGAGTTTTATAATATTTGCCCTTTTTTTTTTTTAGACGAAATATTGTAAAATATTGTCTGTGGTTGAAGTGCTGTTAAGAAACAAAGGTGTATAATCTTTGAATAATATAATCATTTTCTGTTTAATTTCTACATGTGAAAACTTTATGGGAGTTTTTAAAATCAAATCATCATTCTTAATCTAAGTAAAAAATATTAAAAATAAAATAACAGAAATATGATAAAAGCAACTCTCATATAAAAGACATCGACGCCCCCCCAGTGGCACAGCGGTATGTCTGCAGACTTACAACGCTAGAAACTGGGTTTCAATACTCGTGGTTGGCAGAGCACAGATAGCCCATTGCGTGGCTTTGTGCATAACTTCAAAAAAAACAAACAATCCCATCATATTATTTTCAGAAGGACGGTAAGTATACAAAATAGTTTGCTTATTGAAGAAAAGATGTTTTCAAAATGAATTTGTTTTTCTTTGATTAACAACTGGCTCTTCTTTATGTTTCACATCCAAATAAGAAGAATACAAGTAAAGATGAAACATAAGTTTGGTAATGCATACATTCAGAGCAGTTTATGTAATATTATACAATGTTTTAAAGAGAAGATTCTCTTTTCTTTTTCCATTTTTTTACAGAATGACATTTTGTTCTTTCTATATTTCAGTGTGGTCTGTGAACAAAATCTTGACTAAAAGAAACCCAAATCTTTCTTGGTAAGAAGTGAACATTTCAACATATTTCTACAAGAGTTGCATTCATTTCCTTGCCATTATTGTTCAAAAATATTTAAGGAGATATGTATACTGAAGCAACACCTAAGTGTCCATAATCCAGATAAATTTTCTTGGACTTGGCATTCCGTTGGAGATCTCGGCAAATATGAAACATGAAGAATTACCATTGAAAAGTCTGTTTATTTGTGACCATCATGCAATAATTACGTCACCTTTTTTAATCCTAGTAACAATGTCAAATAAGGAATGGGAAAGGGGTTACTACTTGTTGTACGTACGACTCTTAAGTATATGTTACACTAAAGTATATAAAGTACAATGTATTGATGTGTTAATACTGTATATGGAAAACTTAATGTTTTGATGTAGGTGTGTACGACTCTTAAGTATATGTTACACTAAAGTATATAAAGTACAATGTATTGATGTGTTAATACTGTATATGGAAAACTTAATGTTTTGATGTATGGCTTGCGTACAACTCACTCTTTTGGTGGCTAAGAACTACTTAGAAAACTATATGTTTGTTTGGATGAGAAACTATATATATCGTGTAGTTGTTTTTGCTCTATGAATTTTTTATATTTCGAGGAACAAAGGTAAAATGGTATGTTTTCTGGGATAGTTTTTCAACTATGTGGAATTAACATATAAAACAACATTGTAACAGATGTGGAGAGTAATATAGTCAGGTTTATAATTATGTGGAATTAACATCTAAAACAACATTGTAACAGATCTGGAGAGTCTAGTCATGTTTTATTATTATTATTAACAATGACTTCTGATCAAAGCAAGCTACCCACATAGATTATAATTAAATAATATGAATCTGGTAATTAATATAGATAAATCAATACATCATTGTTACTCAGAACACATTAATTTATCAGTTGAGTACACGTGTTATAAACGGTATTTCTGACCATAATCCCAATACTATTTCACAGTGCAACGGTATTTCTGACCATAATCCCAATACTATTTCACAGTGCAACGGTATTTCTGACCATAATCCCAATACTATTTCACAGTGCAACGGTATTTCTGACCATAATCCCAATACTATTTCACAGTGCAACGGTATTTCTGACCATAATCCCAATACTATTTCACAGTGCAAAGTAATCCTCATGATGTAAAATATGTAAAACAAAAATTAAAAATAATGAAAGTAAATAAGTACATATTAACCCTTTCACTCCAATGTTTCTAGATAAGCAGCTCTTCTGGTGTCAATTTTATTTTAGATACACCATAAAATCCAAAAGACCCAGCATATTTTACTATTTCATTACTAATGTAAAACTGGCAAAAGTTTTCAGGGTAATACCTGTGAGTGCTCTGATTTCCAGTCACTTGAAAAAAAATGTCCACAAAACTTTATATAATAATCGCCCAAGACAATGTCAAGTTACCTTTGAAAGCTCACCAAATAGTGTAACTTTAGGGTAGCCTGACATCTGAAATATATTACTATGACGCACGTTAATGTTTAGATAGAGCATTGGGTAGCAGGACAGTACTGGTGGTACAGCAAAAAACTAATGTTTATGTAGATAAAAAAAATGATATTATAATATATTAAAGGTGACTTTGATTTTCATTCCATTCTTATGTCTTGATCAATAACAATACAATATGGCATTCTGAAGTAAGGTTTTAATGAAAGTGATTAATATCAAGTAAACAGAATTTGTCATTATTATTTAGTTGTAGCCCTCTTTACGTTTCTGAATTTGTTTTATTAGTTTTTGAGCTAAAGTTTGTACTATATAAGGATTTTAACCTTTACAGACATAGGTGCTTATATGAAATTATTATATATATAGAAATACTTCTTCTATTCTTGATAGTCTATGTATATAAGAATGTCTTTAATCTTTGTGTATGAAGATAGGTGTATCAGTGTGAAATGCTACTCTCTGAGGATAAGGTGTATTAGTGTGAAATGCTACTCCCTGAGGATAAGGTGTATTAGTGTGAAATGCTACTCTCTGAGGATAAGGTGTATTAGTGTGAAATGCTACTCCCTGAGGATAAGGTGTATTAGTGTGAAATGCTACTCTCTGAGGATAAGGTGTATGAGTGTGAAATACTACAATTTATACTTTGAGTATAAGGATAAGGTGTATTAGTGTGAAATACTAAACTTTATACTTTGTGTATGAGGATAGGGTGTATCAATGTGAAATACTACACTTTATATTTTGTGTATGAGGATAAGGTGTATTAGTGTGAAATACTAAACTTTATATTTTGTGTATGAGGATAGGGTGTATCAATGTGAAATACTACACTTTAT